AGTTGTTTATGATAAGATGATAGTGGCTTTGCTATTTTTAATTACGTCTAATTATTCTTACTTCAATAGCTAAATCTCACTATATTCATGTTGCTATTGAGATGCACTAGGTGTTGATGACTGGCTGAATGCAAGCTGTCAATTATCATATAATTATCGTTATTAGCTTGTCGACCTGTCTAGACCTTATAAAAAAATAATATTACATACTAAATAAACTTGCGACAGGCCCCCAGCGTTCTGTCTTCGCTGTTGGAAAATGCTCCTTAGATAGTTTGAAATCAGAGGAAGGTAATGACAACTGGCTCATAAGAACTTCATAATCAATTGGTCATCTGTGTCCACATTTAATACATATCGTATTGATCCAGAAATTCACTAAATTGCTGACTAACGACTTGAATTACTTCCCTTGACTTATTACTGGGCAATCGACACAATCAGAGGGCAGTAATGAGTGTATATTTGGGGAAAGTATTGCAAGTCAGTATCCCTTCCATGCCACTGGGTTCAGGAGATGAGGGACTGGGTCTCAGCTGCTAGGTTGAGAACTTGTACTTGGCAATTATTGCGTGTAGTGTCTCGCGGGAAAAACTCGCTGTATATCTGCTATTAACAACTGTGAAGCTGAACATTTTATGTTCGTTATTAGTCTGTCATTATAACTGTTGAAAAGCACTTTAGATCACATCGAAATGTTCTCTGCTGAATGTGATCAGTGTGTATATTGAATTCATTCCATTTGCATCTCAAATGTCGATATAGCCTGATTTTCTTGTTATTAATCACTGTGTTTCTCTGATTAGATTTTGTTAAACCAGCACCGATGTTATCATTCTCACTACATTTTATGATTTTCATTATTTATATCAACATTATCATCATCTTGTTATCACCATTATCCATTTCATAATTATCATCATTCTCATCATTACACTGGACATCATCACCATTATTTTCAAGTGACTTTCAGGTAATAAAAGATCGCCTCAACCCTTTCGCCGACCTTTCCTGCTCCCCTCTCGCCACTCCCTTCCCCTCTGTTAAGGTCGAGGGCGAAGTGAGGGGAACATAAGGTCGAAAGTCCATCCACGTCTCACGACATTTAAGGCGAACTGTCCTTTTGGGTTCAAAATGGCGTAAATGTGCATAATGAGCGTCTCTTCAATTTGCATAATATACTGGAGCAGTTATACGCATAAACATTGTTATTCCTATCAAAGAAATACTGCATGAATGTGATGGATATTATCAGTATTACACAGTATTTCCCAAATAATAAAGCTCCAGATTTCCCTGTCATACTGACACAATGTTTTAATTGAGACCATATAATCAAAATACACAAAACGAAACTAACTAAACCATGAAATGTTTAAGCAACTGTACCCAGCCATTACGACTTACTTCAGTCCAATCAAACATTTCCGAAACATCTTTTTCTCCGAATGAAAAAGTATATAATTAATCTTTTCGATCCCCCTGCTGGCGTGGGAAAATATAACTGTAATTTAAAGGAGTCTGGTACCAAGTTTCATGACAATTGCCGGAGAAGAGCGCTTGGAACATCAGAAATTTGGAACATCAGGAATTATTCGTGTTCTTTGTCGTCGCTGATTCAACTGAAGCATGTCTCACAATGCTTCAAATTGCCTCAAATTTTGCATCGCGGATGTAAGTGCGAAACTGTATTTGTGCAAAGTTGCTTGTGTAAATTTCTAAAAAATGGTAAGAGGCTGGAAAAGTGTTTTTTACATACTCTAGATCAGTTAAAACCATAACTATCTACTTACAATCATGTCTATTGGTGAAATTTGTACTTCCCATTTTACCGTGCCTAGGTACATAAGTTTAGCACTACAGATATCATTTGATCATTTCTTAATCACACTTTTATTGACTGTAAGTACACCTGCAAACTTTCCCCTGTTCTGACACCTTCCCAGTGGCCGCCTTACACCATCTTCAAGACGTGGAGTCCGCCCTACAAGGTGGCCGGAAGTACGGTGGACGTCGTCAACATCATAGCCGAAAAACTGGGAATTTGGTGAGGAAAAGAGGGCGTTAGCCTTTTCTCCCGTTTGTAAACTCACGGCAGAACATGTTTCTTTCACGTTCAAGATGCAACGAAATTTTTCTAAAGAGTAACCGGAAGACCATGCTACTTTCACGTTTAAATTGTAACGTAAACTATCTGAAGAGGAACCGGCAGAACAAGGGATTTCCACGTTTGAAATGTAAATATAAAAATACACCTAAAGAGTGTCCGGAAGAACATGCTGCTTTCACGTTTAAAAAGTGACAAAATATATCTGAAGAGTAACCGATAAATACATGCTACTTTCACGTTTAAAATGTAACGAAAAATATCTAAAGACTAACCGACGGAACACGCTACTTTCAATTTAAAAAGTAACGGAATATATCTGAACAGTAACCGTCATTCCACCGGCAGCTACACCGTCGTTCGAGCCAGCGACAACGACTGGGGAACCGCCCT